TGGGATTAGGTACATCTGAAGAATGGACGTAGCTAACTGGTTGTATTGAAAGCACGGGAGAGTAATGCAAAGATAGCTCTGTTTATTCCTTGATTGCTGTGCAGTTAGCTATGGAGAAGTTTATTCTCATTGTATATGAAAAAAAAAAATAAAACTACTGATAGTTCCATCGTACTTAGGAAGTAGCATGTGGAAGAGCACGTAAGCAGTCAGTTTCTGTGAATTAAGTGTGCCAGATATGGATAACACAGATTGCAGCTGAAAGTTCGGGGGTTTTTTTTGTTGGGTTTTTTTTTGTTTTGTTTTCCCTTTCCTTGAGTGCTGTCCATTTCTTATATGAGCTGGATGGGATAATGAGACTGATAACATACTTGCATAAAACTGGTAGATTGGAAAGCTGAGTCAGAAATGGATGCTCTTGAAGCTTTCCATTTCTGACTTGGCTCTTTGAAATGTCAAATTTGATCCTTCAATTAGAAAATAAATTTCTAGCCTTTTTTGCCATGATAGCATCTTCACATGTAAGCACACTAGTTGGACTGAACATCTTATAATACAGGTTTGGGGCATTTTTAGTTGATTTATGGTTTCTCTCCTGGGGAAAAAAAAAAACCACACACGAACAACAACAAAAAAACACCAACCTACCAGAGTGTAGAAGTCAAGCAAATTGCATTTTTACAGTAACTGTGAAAAATTTACCAGCTGGATATTTAATTTATGAACAAAGGTGTTTCATTTCCTGCAAAATCTATTTTAAATTACAAATTAATACATTACCAAATATATTAGTTAGGAGAGAAAGAAGCTCAAACTTTCTTTAGGAGAACAAGTTGATCTAAATTGTCACTTCTTGTTCACTGATTTAGATCACAATTAAAAATCAATCATTTATATCAATTTACCTTCTTAGTACTTGCATTGTTATGACGTTCCCATGAGGGCCTGTGATGGCTATCTATTGTTAGATTTAATAGCATCAATACCATCGTTAGAAAGAAGTTGTGACTTAAAAATAATTAACCCCACTTACTTGTGCTGTTTTCTAGGCATGTGTAGGTAGGTCCAATGGTTTTTCAAAGCCTGGAAGAAGTCTCAGTTGACCAGTAGTAATAGAGATCTCAGGCTTTAGTTTGAAGTTCCCTAGTCTTTCCTCATCTTAATTACACAAAAATGACATAAACTTGTGCTGCTGTTAAATGAAACAATTTATTTAATGGGAAAGGGTGAAACTCGGATGTGAAATACAATGTTTGTCTCATCTCTATTGGCATATTTTTAGCTACCTGTGTAATATCAGTCAGTCTTGTCCATTTTTTGCAAGTAGGTAATGCAACTAAAAAACAACCAACCTAAACCCACGGCTTTTTTACTTAAACATAAATGAAGGTTTAGTATTTGCAAGCATTCTGAATTTACTCAGTGGAAAATGTGTAAAACGTTTTGTTAAATGAAATGTATCGACAGAAAAGCTGTAGGTTTGTAATTTCTGCAGCTTCTGATAAAGGCTTTTATTTCTGTTCCAAGTGTCTGAAATATTTTCAAATGTGATATTCAGTGTTTTTAAATACAATGAGACGTTGTTTTCAAGCACTGATTTTATGTATTTAATTTGTAGGTAAGTGGAGGCATCCTTCGGATATTTCCAGAAGGTAAAGCCCAGTTCGCTGATATTGAACCCAAATTTGATAGACTGCTATTCTTCTGGTCTGATCGCCGCAACCCTCATGAAGTACAGCCAGCATTTGCTACAAGGTAGGACTGATGGACTCTTTCCATATTGCATGATGCCTCTTTGATCAAGAAATGAGCAAATCCTAATGAGGAATGAGTGACACTATGAATTATGACCTGATCCCAGGCCTTTCCGTGTACAGTTCCAGTTGCGCTATGACAGGAAAGGTTGTGGGGGTGTTTTTCTGCTGATTGATTAGGCTTCTGCTGTGCTCCTGAGTTTGTACCAATGTCTGATCTCTTATTTTCAAGAAAAGATCCTCTTGGGTGGGTAGGAGGGAGGACTGGAAACACCAGGAGTTTCTGAGCCTGAACTTGGCAGAACTGGGAAGGAGCACACAGCCATAAACAGACCCCACCTTAGCCAAGGGATGTTGCTTCATTATTTCTGTGTGATGGCTTTATGCTCTCCTCCCTTCCTTTTGTCCTTAGCACTGTGTTACTGGAAGATTGACTAGGTACTTGAGTTTTATGCTCCCTCTTGTTGGGAGGGAGTTGTTAGAAAATAGTAATTTTCAAACTAAGTCACCGCATTCTAGTCTGGGAATTGGCAGAGGGCTGTGGGGCAGAAACGGCCATGGATATACAAATATTTTCTTTCTCTGGAATATTAGAGAAGCTGTTCCCAGTCTGAGTCACAGGTAGAACTCGGTATCTCCTTTATCCCTCAGTGTGGGGCAGTGGGTGATGCTAAATGTACCTGCATTCACTGCCCCCACATCTTGAGTGGCCTTTCCAGATCGCATTAATAGGTTAAAAAAAAAAAAAGGTAAAATCCTCGATCCAGCCTTCCTGTTGCCCATGTCGCAACACATTGGGATGGCCAGAGCACTGAATGTTGGCTGGAGCTGTGAGATAACACAAGTACCTTTGCAAGAAGTAACTTAAAACTGCCGTCGGCATGTCCTCGGGAGGCTTTACCACTCTCCCCTCCAGCTTTGTGCTCTGAGCAGAGTCAGAGGGTGAAACGCCATTTACTAAAGCTCCTTGAAGTCTTTTCTCAATAGCTGGCGTTTCATATTTAAATCCTCTATGGGCAGTGGAAAACCAGAGGAGCTGCGTAAGAAGGGGTAGTTCATTTTCCCTTATGACCACTGTCCAAAAAAGAGGTTCTTGCAGTGTGACTCAGTGATGGACTTGACCGAGTAAAGTAAAAGATGAGGTCACGGGGCAAGGTGGTACGGACAGAGACTGTATTACAGGTTCTGGGCAAGAACCGTAATAGCAACTCATCAGGAAAAAGAAGCATAAACTGACAGTATCAGTGTCACCCTTTCAGTGACTGTTCAGGCAATACCTACTAACAGGAAAAAAACCCAACCTGCTTGCTTTGTGCTTTATGAAATCTTCTTCTGTCAGACTGCAGAAGTGTCATCTCATTTAGCTTGTGTTTTATGTCAAGTGCTTCACTGTTTTTTTTCTTCATAGTTCAGGAGTTCTTTTTCCATCTGTTTCCCTAGGTACGCAATAACAGTGTGGTATTTTGATGCAGATGAAAGAGCACGAGCTAAAGTAAAATATCTAACAGGTAATCTCTCGTTAATATCTTCTGTATTCTTTTTTATTTTTCTGAAAGAATAGCTAAGTAGCCCCACCTCATCTCCTTGGCCCACCTTGTGCACAGAAAGGGGGAGAAAACCAGCGTAACTCAGAGCCAGGTTTTACAGGGAAGGTGAGCCAGTGGTTGAGCTGCCAGGCAGGCTTGGGAAGTCCAGGTCAGTGCCTTGTCCTGCTGATGCTTCCTCCGAGACCTGAGGCTGCTCAGTATTTTTATAAGAGGGATACAGGTTCTCCCTAGCAGGTGTGGAGGATAAATACACCAGAGACCGTGAGGCATTGGAGAACTGAGAGCCCTGGAAATAGTTTTGATCGAATATACTGATTCAACAAGTGAATAGAACTTAACTTGTCTAGGATCTCTATATTGGAAAAAACAAAAGCCTAAAGTTAAAACCTGGAATCAAAGAATGGAGTTACTTCCTCCATTTCCAATTCCACATATCTAGCATCTGTTTTTCTTTTCTGGCTTCTCTCTCAAGAGGAAGTTGATCTAATTTTCCTGTTCAAATTAGCGTTATAAGGAGAAATGGCCTCGGAATTCTGTCGTGCTTGTACTTGCCATCACGATTTTGTGTTTGTTACAGTAGTTTTAAAAAATAAACCAAAATCAGGTGTACCGCAAGTGCACACGTGCACAGGGCCAGTTTCTCCGCGGTTTCATCAAGAGCTCTGAAACCGATGGATGTTGCAGGGAGTCCCTCGGCTCTGGCCGGGCGGACTGTGGCTGTCCCTGTCCCACTCCTCGGTGGCACATGCCCAGCAAGGTACGGTGACTTCCCAGGCGGTCAGAAATGCCGGATAACGCCCGCCTGGTCTCCGCAGGACGCCTGTCTGTCCGTAAGCCGGACTTTGTATCACACGCGTGTGACTGCGCAGCTCCTGGAGCCAGCCGTGCTGGATCAGAGCTGTTTTGGTTGTCTCCACGCAGCTTCACCCGCTGCCCTTTCAGAGGGAGCGCAGGGGAGGTGTTGGGCTGGGCTTGTGTCTTCAGGGAAGGTGCTCCCCCGGCCCCTCTCCAGGGTCCCCCTAAACTGCAGGCACTTAAGGGAGGAAAGCTGGGTTGGAGGAGTTGTTTAAATTTTGGTGTCAGTTTGCCCTGTAATTGATTTATAGTATCACATTGTTGTGATTTCAGTTTTCGTTTGCAATTAAAACTGCATTCCTTGCTCTGTATCTGC